AGATTGACAAGGTTTTTCATAATGAAATGAACACAGACTTTCCATCCAAACTTAACTTAATGTTAAAAAAAAAAAAACTTAATGTTAAATAAATAATAAAGTGCATTAATTTTTCATTATAATATTAATATTAACATTATTATTAAGTAATGGTAATAATAAGTAATAAATTAGTGGGCAGCCAATCCCAAGTATCTACAACAATGATTAACCTTACCATTTGAGACATCAATCCTAAGGTTAAACCTCTTACCAGACATATATATGGTCTAACTTTGAAGCCTTATAACTCAAAACTTTTCCAATAAAAAATAAACTGATAGAAATGAAGCATAGCTCTTTAGCTTTAATTCTTTTGATTTACTTTTTTCCTTTCTTTTTTAATAAGGAGTTATAAGCCTTTAAAGTCATGTGATTAATCATTGATAGATGTCCTCCTCCACTATAATAATATTCCACATTCCTTTTTTTTCATAGATTTAATTAGATCAATATCAGATCCAGAACATCCATTAACTCTCAAGCATGTTGGTATAGATGACTAGAACACATGGAATTCACATCAACCATACCTCATTGTTTTATGGATGCATTGGATTGTGTGTACATGTTAGATTGTTTTATGGAAGTTTGCTGGAAAATTTAAAGTTGATATAAATGCTAGGAAGGGAAGGATCCTATCAGTCAAAACAAGCTGGTATGTGTATACATATTGGGCGAGAATAATCAATTGAATTTTATGTTAACTAACCAATTAAATAAAAGAACGAGTTGGAAATATACATTTATTAGATGTTGCAAATTAATTTTTTCAACAGCAAATTTACAAGGCAATGCTTTACAACAATAAACTACAAATATTATTATAACTATAGTAATAGTTTTTATTTTAAATTGGTGATTTCAACAATGTTGATATTATATGAGAGAGTGTGTGTGCATTAGTATGCATTAGTGAATGTTTGTTATAATCTGATTTTTGGATAATGTTAATACAAACAAAGAATCAAAATCAAAAAAACTCTATTTTTTAATCTACAAGACTTGAAAAAACTTTTTTTTTGTGAAAATCTATCTAAATTGTCCATATTAAATATATACATATATTTAATAATTTTCTTTTAAAAATTAAATAAAAAATATAATTTACAGTTTAAAATTAGTATATCTATATATAAATATTGTTAATATACAAATATACATTAAGATTTATAAGGCGGATTTATTAAACTTGTTGCACTATTAACAAAAAAAATTTTTAATAATAATAACTTAAATCATATATTATTTCAACTATAAATTAACATATAAATAAATACCTTGCCGATTTAATAGTGCCAATAGATGATGATAAAGATAATAAAAAGTCAGTTGTATCTTTCTGAGGAGTTTTCTTTTCTTTTTTCCCATTAACACCATTCAATGAATAAGTAATTGATTCTAAATCAGATACTACAGAATTATCATGTTCGGATGTATTATTTGAAACCTGTTGTTGTACACCTACGTAACATATATGGTAATAGGAGTATTATAGTCAAATTAATAATCCAAATAACTACTAAATAATAATAGTAATAGTAATAATAATTACCTAGTGCATCTTTTAAATTTTCTACTTTAATAGTTGGTTTAGGTAAATCACCAGAACTATCTTCATGATGAGTAAAAATAGGCAGAGTGATTGCAATATGAGGTTTTTCATCACTGAAACTTCTTGATGATCTAATTTTTGAAGCTTCAGATTTCAATCTTTCAAATCCTTCGTCAGGATTCCATTCTGCCATCAAATTCTTCTCTAATTGTTTGCCGCCTATATCTGTTAATTCTTTATGTTTACAAAGTAAAGGCACAATAATTTGATGATCAAGCCAAATGTCAACTGGTTGCAATAATTGATTCGTCTCGTTGGATTTTTCCTCATCTTCAAAAACTGTAAATGTTGATGTTGATGTTGATGATGGTGATGATGGTGATGAAATATTTCCAATATAAGTTGACCATTGATTTTTATTTAATCTTTCTTCTTCAATCTACATATATTTTTTTGTGTGGGAAAAAGAAATTAATTTTTGATTGTTGGGATTATAATAGATATTTTCTTACTTTTTTGGTATAATCTTGTAATTCTGAAATTTTTAAACCAGTTGCAATATCATGAAAATATAACACAATGATGCTAGCCAATGCTCGTTGACGAGTGTAATTTTCAAGCTTCTCTTCCTTAGCTTCATGCTATATTTGTAAATTATAAATCATAAATTATAATAAATTCAAGATTTTAATACAAATATATCCAACACAGCACATAATTGTCATTATATGACATACTTGTAATTTGAAGACAACTGGTACACCACGAATAATTTGGTCAGCACGAAAACGATTAAATAGAGCACGAAGAATAGTGGATAAAGTTACATAATCTTGCGGAGTAGATTTTTGTGATAGTAAAAATTGGTATAATGACAGATGCAATGAATTTAAAAAATGCAATGATGGTTGTTTGAAATATGTAGTAATCTATTCAATTATGATAATAATTATAAATGAAAGAAAAAAGATCAATATTAAAAGTCTTTTAATAGTTAGTAGTTAATAAAAAATTGATTGATTGATTATAATTAATTAGTTACACTCGATGTATCTATTTCCTTTGGTTCTAATGGTAGATCAGAACTTTCTAAAAGTGTTAATAATACTTGTGCATATGCTATTCTCACTTCTGCAAAAAAAACCAAAAGAAATGAAGACAATGTTAATTTGTAAATATAAATTGACCGATTAAAACACACACAAGACAATTAACAATAGTAATATATATATATATATATATAATAAATAATGTACCATGATCATCATCCGAGCAAAGTCCAGTAGTATTTTGAAATGCTTCAATTTGAATCTCATTCCTTGGATATTGAGGATAAAGTTTTTTAGATTCGTTATTCTTTTTAAGGACAGTATCCAGGCATTTCAATAAAGTTTTTCTTGAGTCACTAATAGAGATTCCTTCAATAATAAAAACAAAATTATTGGTAAATGTGATGTCAGAGTTATTATTAGTTGTATTATTAGTGATATTATTATTACTATTGTTGTTGTTGTTGTTGCTGCTGCTGCTACTACTGTTGTTGTTGTCGTTATTATTATTGTTGTTGTTGTTTTGTTGAGTGTCAGGTTCGGGATGTAACTGTAAATGTTGAATAATATGTTCTATTATATCATTAACTTGATTGGCATAATATATATGTATTGCAAGTGCACCTAAAATTATATTATATTTTATTAATTACAAAAAAAAAAAATTTTCTATTTTCAATTAATAATAATAGCAATATTAAAATGTACCTATGCAAGTGAAAAGTCTTTGAGCATTCATTTTTTCCAGTTCTGCAGATTTTTCAATCAAAGAGGTTTCGGCCGCAAATACTTTCTCATCACTATTTAAATTTGCAATTTCAAAATTGTAATCCCTTAATTTTACAGAATTTAACAAATGGCGTAACAAACAACCCAAAACTTCCAGGATCGAATAGTTGACCAGATTAATTTTATTGGTAAGAATTGAGGTTAACATCTCGATCAGTGCGTATTTTTTGGGCAAAGGTTCTGCCACATTAATCAATGAATTTAGTTGCTGTATTATTTCGGTAACAAATGTATGACGAAATACCGGCTATTTTTTTAAAAAAAAAAGATAAATTAATGAATACTTGCAAGAAAATATACATATATCTTATATCTATATATGTAGTTTACCTGCAAGGAAGAGACGACAACAAAAGCTAAACTAATACCAAAGGATGACGGTAACCAAAGATTATTATCATCTAGAAAGGCAAAGGTTGGCTTAAGGGACATATTAATATTTGAAGTATTGGCATATGTAAATACTTGTTTGTAACAATTATAAGCTAAGCGCGCATTCCCTTCAGCTGAAATTGTTGTAGAATCTATGGAAAACTGATTTGGGTTTGAATGACCATCACCATTATTATTCATTTGTTCCATTTCGCTATAAATAGTAATGATGATAATAATAAATATATTTATAATTATTATTAAGATGGCAAAAAAATCTTTTCTTTGAAGTCTTTTTTTCTTTTACTTACATTCTTTGTAAGTGTTCTAAACCAATCTCGCCATCAGTTAAATTTTTTAAAAGTGCAGGAATGATTTGTCGCAATTGATGTTTAGATTTTGCTTTGTATAATGCATCAGAAGTGACCGCAGCTTGGAGTGCGTGAAGCCCTATAAAATTATATCTATTTATGTTTATATTTAAATTAATAAAAGATTCAATCAATTAATAGAATATCATCGACATCGTCACCATCATCGTCATCATCATCTTTAATGTTTACCTTTTCTCTAAATCAATATCAGACACAATTTCATAAGTTGCGTATTTTGCAAAATCAGAGATCAAACTTTCATAAATTTTTGTAAATTCATTATCTACTCCAAGATTTGTTCCATCATGATACGAACAAAAATCAATAAACTAATAATAATAATAATAATAATAATAATAATAATATTTAATAAAATGTATTGTATGTATGTATGAATATCCTTAATATCCATGTAATATATATATATACACTTTACCACTGAACATGCTCGTGCAACTAGATCAATATCTTTTGTACTTAAAGAGGCAGCAATGATTTTGACTACATTCTTTGAAAATAGATTTAAATCTTTTTTACAAGAGCCTAATAACTTTGAAATAATTTGTAAGGAAACATCTGTATCTCTAATTCCCCGAGAAAATGATTGTTATTATTAATAATGTTATAATAGATGAACGATAATAAATTATACACATACTGCTTTTTATGTTTTTTAACATCGCTAGCAACTCTTTTTTCTAAATGGGCACCACATTTTGTGAGTTTTGCGGGCTTTGAACTTGCATAAAATACAAGATATGAGAGTTCGCTTGACTTTGGATTCAACTCGTTCGGACCATTTGGATAACAGTTGTTTATAAGGGTGGCGTGTTTAGACCAGCTGTGACAAACCCCAGTGCAAGTCATATTTTTATTATTTAAAATTGGGAAAATTTGGAAAAAAATTTAAAAAAAATTTAAAAATAAATAAAAGAATGTGTAAATTTAATAATATATTTTTTTTATAAAATACATTGATTGACTATAAATAAATTGTTATAATTTTTAATTTTTTCAATAAATAAAGATAATCCATAAGTTGTTTATGTTAATTAACCAATCAAATTACATTTACCCCAAATTAGGAAATAAAAGGTTTATATTTGTTCCGCAATAATAAAAATTTGTTGTACGCATATGATAAATCGTTAATTCATCATAAATTTATTAGCTACTAATTTCTTGCACAAATATAAGAAGATAAGACATTCTGGGATGTAATCACTCAAGAACTCTCAATGTTAAAAAAAATAAGTTTAACAATTGTTAAGATGTACAGTTTTATCAAAGTTTGTTAACCTAAGCTAAATTTGATCACAAACTGATGTTGGTTACCCTTAAAATTGCTGTATTCAAGTCAATGGGATGACACTTTAAAAAGACTAGCCCTTGTATTAAGGTTTCTGGTCCAAACTGTTTTCTCAAAGCCCAAACTAGTTTGGGCAATTTGGGCTTCTCAACATTTTCTA